CCCACATTTCCCTGCTGAATATCAAATCCCTCCCCGGCTTTAAGTTTCTATGGTATATACAACCCTATGAATAACAAAGAAAACCWAGTGAATTGGAAACTAAATACAATTAGACGCTCTTGGAGCGTGAAGTCGGACTAGCTATTTTTGAATGTATATCATGGCGTAGAATAATATATTTTTTACTTCTAATACATAGTGAAAGCAAGAATGCGTGACCGTTTATTCACACGATACGATATTCGACTTCAAAACGATAGAAATCTAAATTTTGACCTAAAAGGTCATGTAATTAATACCCGGTAGACAAGATGTCTCTAAGCGATATCATATAAGAAAATAAATACTTTTGAAGAGATGCCTATAAAATAATCAAAGTCGGCTTTTTGTTATTGATAAACAAAGTTTTTCTTGTTATAATTTGAAATCTTTGCCCAAACAAGACTGCCTAGCGGTAGAATTCAGTTCCGTAAGCATACTACTCGAAGCTCCATGCGATCCGCACATGCGCGTACTTCTGATGGCTAGACTGATGCATTCCGATGAGATCACAGATACCACATTTATTAACGTTATATTCGTACATCTATACGTTTGAGCTTCCGGTCATGTAATAACACAGCCAACCCAATACTTAATTATTAAATTCTTAACTTCCGGTGGTCCAAACGCGACATAATACATAGATAGATTGGCTAAAAGGTAAAACTTGAGTCGACCTAGCCTTCGGACTAATAAGCGCCGATGATGACAGAACTACTGGTGTGTTTTCTTCTACATATAAAGCAATCGCACAGAAGTTGAAAGTATCTCCAACAACGTACCGTTAATTACCAATTAGACCTCGAGGTCGAGTGGACTACGACCTCTAATAGCCCATGAGGCCGAGTCCGCGAGGCCGAATGGGCTATTACCTCGTAGTCGACGAGGATCGCAGCAGAAAGATTTACATACGATAACATGCTGTACATGCAGTTGTTTCTTGATTACTTGAGCTCAAAAAGACCCCAGAAGAATTAAATTTTTTGACGAGGCGGGTGTTAAGTTACCAGATATGGGAACTCGCTCGTATGGACATTCTCCCGTTGGCGAGAGTTGTGTGCAAGTAGTTAGAAAAGCACAAAGTGCGAACGCAACTTTGAACATGCTAGTTTCATTGAATCGAATGGTCCAGAATATCATAACTTAATCGATGCAGCATCAAACACTGTGGAATTCTTAAATTTTTTTCCAAGAAGCTAGCAATGCTACAAACATTAATACTCTTCGCCCGCAGTTCTTGAGATAGACGATATCGTTGTTATGGATAATTTGGCCGTACATCACCTTGATGGGGGATTAATCCTTGAAGAATTCTCAGCGGACAGGGGGAGTTTCTCTATCTACCCACCTATTCGCCAGATCTTAACCCGATTTAGTGAAATGTGCTTTAAGTAACAATGCGCGCAAAAAGCAGGCAACTTTCTATTGTTCTGCGGCAATTGCAACTTCCCGACATACGAATGTCTTGGTTTTCACACTGATTATATATCAACCTATGGGTAACAGATTTTTAAAATAAAATGTGAATAAACTCTGTTTTGAAACAAAGTTTCTTTTGTATAAAGAGATCTTGTCCAATCATAAGCACTCAAAACAATAGCCAAAAAATGCTTCTAATTTGCTATGTTCCCCACATAGAATTGCTATTAATATTAAAGCTAAGAAAAGTTTTTATGAAGTCGGAATCAGATATTAAATAAAATATTAAAAAATGTGCTTGCTTTTGAAATTATGTCAAATTTTAATGTTTTAACCAATGAGATGGATGGACTATACAATGCAAAATTAGCACCTTCATGCATTCCATTGCCGTTTGCTTGCCTGCTTCTTACTCGGACCATTACTTAATAAAGTAAAAACAGTATTAAACCATTATTATTAGCAAATCGTTTATTGAATTACTGGTATGGCTACTTGCKCTATCGAAAAAAATTGCTTATCCCACCTGTATAGTAGAAATAATCGATAATTCAACCAACTAGAACATTGAATGGCATTTWAAAAAAAACCCTAAGATTTTACAAAGGCTTAATTACGTTGTGTTGAATTTGTGTGTGGGTTTGTTTGCGAAATTGGAAGACTACAACAGCTGCGATAAAAGGACTAACGTCGAGACTAATGCATGAGTCAATTGAACACCCCCCCCCCCCCCCCCCCCAAAAAAAAAAAAGGAATTGAAATGTAAACCCCTAATTGTCTCTTGACACTGACTATTCATACAAAAATGATGAAGCAAGGGAAATCGGTTTGGAATATTAACTAGTATATACCAATTTCAATTGACGCATGCATAATGATATCATGAATTTTGAGCTAATACTCGTTTAAATTCACAGTAAAACAAATTAATCCTGTTTGCGTCCAAAATGTCTACATTGAAAACTCTCATATAGCTATTTCAAAAAAAATGTTGTCAGATAAAATAACGAATGTCAAGTTCAATGTCACGACCGAAAGTAGACATGCGTGTTGCTAGTTGAAAGGCAATAATAACTGATCTGTACTTTAAGATGGTCTGTGGTAAACATTGGCTCCATTTAGTCTCCAATTCTATGTAAGGTGAATCCAATAAGYGAAATTTTGCTTATCAAAACAGTGTAACCATAGTCCCTTTCGCTCGTGCAATCTCCCTTCTCAAACTCATTTATAATTCATGGCTTCATAGTCCAATCGGGTGTTTATTTTAGGKTCACGTGCATAACCTTAGATACCATGATCCAACATCGGATGGTAATTAGTTCCAAACCTGTGTTTGGATATCCAAATCCAAAAATGCACCATTTTTGGCGTTTTTGGAGAGCTATAGCCCATGCATTTTGATCAAAAATTGGCCATTGTTGGCGTTTCTTGGATTGTTTGATGAATATAGTTTTAAAGATATTGTGCTTTGATCATATTCATGCCATTTCCCACCCTTCTCCTGACCCTACCATACCAAATA